AGCCATTCCCTTCACCTAGAGCCAAAATTTTCTGACTTCAAGACGTCCACAGCAATAAGCTTGTGTGGAAACCAGTCTGCCCAGGACCCAAGGCCTCTGTTCCCAATGTTTTCCTCATCCATTATGTCAAACAGCTATTTCCTTTTGGCTTATAACCAGACCATAAACAAAGGCCAGAGAAGCTCTGGGTTATTTTATGATTCCAGTTTAGCCTTTCTCTCTCATTCTTTTCTTTTTTTTTAAATCGTTTGAAGGGAGCATATTTATTACTTGGCAGGCCAGTAAATTGTAAATAGGGTTTGCTGAAGAATGGTCCAAAATTCTCAGGAATTTATCTTTCCACCATCACAACAAAAACAACAAACCACAGGAAGGAAAGGCAAGGGAACTAATATTTAATGGCCCTGAGTGTGCGCACTGTGATTTATCTACATTCTACCATGTGACCACCAAAACAATCCCGTAAGGTAGGCAATTGTTATCCTCACTTCATAGATGAAGAAACCAAGGTACAGAGTCACCACATAAATGGGTTAGGGCCCTCAGCTAGAAGGATGCAAAGCAGAATTCACACCCAGGACTCTGCCATGGCATGGACAGAGACCGCCAGCCAGGGAAGAAACCTCTGGGGATGTCCCCCTTTTAGATACTATTGAAAGTTATGAGTCTTCCTCCAAGAGAACTCGCTCCACATCTTTCCTCGTAGCTTTGCATCAATTTTAGATAGCTCATAGATTCTTCCTGAAGCCCATCCATAAAACCCTCAATTAAGAACCCCTTAACTAAAAGAATAAAAGTACCTATTGGCTTGGCCTGAGTAGTTACCCAGAACACTTTATACTGATTTCTCCTAATGGACTGAAACTCTTATGCTCATGGAACCACTCAGTCTTAAGAGTCACCAAATAACAGAATTGTGGATTCTTAATATCATAAGTTCATCTATAAGCATGGAATTTAAAAATTTTAGATTTTAGAATCAGAAAAAGATTAGAATATCAGAGCTGGAAGGCAGCAGAGTGGAGATCAAGACCACATGTAATTTCATTCCACAGCTCTGACAGGTTGGCTGGCAGTGCCAGGGAACTGGAGCTATATTATATTACATCATTTCACTCTCCCAATAACTGGGCAAAGTGAGTATTATTATTTTTATTTTACCAGTGGGGAAACAGGCTCAGGGAGGTGAGATAACCAGCCCAAAGTCACACAGCTAGGGAAGCATCAGTGACTGTATGCATTGCTGTTATTTCCCTGATGTGGTGAAGAGAAGTCAGGAAGCAAGACCCTGGTAAGGTTCGTTTGGCTGGTCCTTTATCAGGGAGAAAAGTAAGATGGACAGACATGTATATTCTGGTAGATAGGCTGATGACATCACGGTGGGCCTGGGTGAAATATTCTCAGGATTCTCTGCCTCCCCTAGCCCCTCCCTGGTCCTGCTCTCAGCCAGCATCCTCTGGGTGACCAATTGGCCTCCATCTACCTCCCTGATGCTGGGAAAAGGGTACTTTGGATGACAGATGTAAAAAACCCCGACACAGCAACTACACACCCCACTATTTGAGCCACTTGACATTCTGAGGTCAAGAACCTTAATCGTGGTGAGGCCACAGAGGACCTGTGTCCCCCGAACCAGCCAACACAGCACTGGTCTCCTGCTCTAATGGCCATGACTACCTTCTTTATCATAAATGTCGGTCCTTACTCACAGTCACATAAACCTTTTCAATGTTTTAACTGAGAGTCACTTAATATTTAAAGCGTACAGTACATACTCAAGTACATTATTACATTAAACCTCACTGTCACTCTGTGAGGTTAGGTATCATTACGTCCTGCTGCTACAGATTAGGACAGTGAGGTTGTGTACCTTGCACAAGGTGACACATCTAGTAAGTGGCTGAGCCAGGATTCAAACCCAGATTTGCCTGAAGTGAAAGTGTGCTCTCCTTGCTTTAAACTGTACCACTGCAAGAGTGTCTAATTCCCATAGCAGGGGTTAGAAAAGCGGGAAGGCTCATAGTCCATGTGTGAAGCTGATGAAACCCACCTCGGGGAGGCTAGAGGACCTGCTGAAGGGCGCTCTTTGGGATGACACTGGTGCTATCATCAGAATCCACGTCTCCTGACTCCCTCTCTGGAGGACACTTCCTCCCAGACCATATCGCCATTCCCATCACACCATGTAATTTCTTCTTCTGATTAGGACATGGAGCCAGCAGCCAACAAAGAACACAAGCTGTCTGCCTGAAGTCTCCCTCCCTCTGTTATGAGATGAGTGTTTTAAAAAGTGCATTTCAAAAAAGAACCAGGTTAAATCACTGTCATGTGTACTGAATTGGCCTGAGCTTCCCTGGTGCAATTCCAGGTTCCTCTGCTCATCCTCTGGATGGCAAAACAAGGTGGGGAGGCTCCCGCTGCACTTCGGCCTGCTCAGGTGGAGCACAACTGCACTGTTCACTTTTAACTTCCTCCAATCACTAGCTCCTGCTCCCCACTGGCACCCCAGCCAGTCACTTAAGAAGTCTTCTTGGTTCCACATTCCAAATACCCCATGGCACCACCCACTCTAGGCCTAAATCATCTCCCACCCAGAGTGTCACAGCTGCCTCCTAAGGCATGTCCCTTCCTGTAGTCTTGGCCCCTCCAAATTGTTCTTCCCACTGTGGCCAGAGTGGCTCTCCACCGTGATTTAAAAGCCTTCTATTGCTTTCCATTGTTTACATATTCAAGTTCAGATTTCTTACAGCCTGCTTTTGTAGTCTCGTCCCTTGCATCTGAAGTCCTTCAGGCATCCGGACCACTCACAGCTGGCGCAGCACACCTGCCTCCTCCCCTCTGGCTGTGAAGTCCTCCCTCCAACACCCACCCTAACCTGATCCGACTAATTTCTACTCAGTCTCAAAAAACTCACCTTAGATGTCAGTTCCCCTGGGAATCCTTCCCTGACCTTCCCAAATTGTGTTTGAGTCTCCTTCCACCCCCAGGTAGAGACATTTTTGTGCTACATTCACTGTGCCTAGAACTTTATCTTGCTATGGCAGACGTTCAATATTTAAATGGAAGTTTCTTATGGTTCCTTCCTCCACCAAAGAACCCACCTCTAATATTATAATCACTTTTCTCATTTTCTGTCTCCTGAATAGACTGAAAGCTCTGTGAGTCAGGGACCAGGCCTTCAGTATTCCACACGGGGTGCCTAGCAGGATTCCTGGCATGTACTAACGGCATGTTTACTTTTGATGAATGAGGACTGGGTGTTGAGGGAGGAAACTCTCGGCCTGGGCCGAAGGAGGGGCATTCTACGAAGAACACCTTTACTTCCAACCAAAAGAATGTCAGAGGTGCTGTCAAAGGGAAGGAAAACCCATCGAACTTGACATCAGAAACCAGCCACAAACGAAGTGGAGGAGTCTGGAGGGAACTGCATCTCACTGCGAATAAGGGTTGTGGAATCCCCTTCGGTACACATGCTCAAACTCTTTTTCCAGGCAACTCTGCCTATCTCCTCTGCTATGATATCAGGGGAGAGCAAAGCAGGTACAGCGTGGAATGTGACCTCTGTATGTATTACAGTATTCAGCAGATCTTAGAGGTGTCAGGAGCCACATATTGTCATTTGTGTGTGTTGTGTGTGTGTGTGGTCATGTTGGGGAGGGGGGAGGGGCAGTGTGGCATGCAGAGATGGCCAGGACTTTGGAAACCAAGGGTCCTCTGTTTCACAGCAGAGCTTACTCCCTTGACCTTGCTTGGTGACGTCTTGGTGACCTCAGGGAAGGGACTTCATCCTTACCAGTATCTCTCCAGTGTTCTGCTGGATGGAACACTGAGCTAACACCCGGCCTACCTATTGCTCATCCTCCCTCTGGGCCATTGCTCTGCCTTCCATGTTCCCAGCTAGGTAACTGGATGCCCCCTCAAGCCACTAGGCTGTAATTGACTGGATAGACTGAAGTCATGATAAGTCATCCTGACCTGAAAGGACGTTTTCCTGCACAGAGCATGACAGGAACTGCACAAACACTCACCAAGGGCTGGATAAAAATCTAAAAGGGGCACTTCCACTTCTGGGGAGAGAGAATCTGTATATATAAAGAAAAAATATCATCCTTTTCCTTTCTTCTGTCAACTGTGATCCTTTCTCTGGGAAAATTGTTAGGAAATGAGAAATGGGTCAATCTGAAAACAAAAGGATAAAGGAAAACAGAAACTGCCACAATCCTTCTGCAGTGACCTTGAAATTAAAATCAATGCTCAAGAAACCAGAGTAATTGAATAATGCCTAAAAATTCAAGCAGGTTAGAAAGTTAACTCTAACTTCTTTATGACAAACCTGAGGGGCGGGGGTTGGAGAAAGTTTATGAGGAAGCTAAGAGGAAAATCAATTTGGGGAAGGAAATGCAACGGCAGAGATAAAGATGTGCACAGGCTAAGAGGGAGGATGGGAATGAGGCAGAGAGAGGGAGGAAAAGAGGATGGGAAGAAGAGATAAGACAGGAGGGAGGGAGGGAGAGAAGGAGAGGGGGCAAAGAGAGAATAAAAACAAGTGAAAGGAGAAAACAGTGAGCAGAGAGAAGAGAAAGTGAGGGAACAAGCATACAGAAAAAGGAAGATGAGAAGAGCAAACGTAGTTTTACGTGCTCAGGTAGGAAGGAGGGGTCAAGACCAGCAAGGTCTTCCTCAAGCCTCGGGGCTGGTCAGCCAGCCTGCGTACTTACACACCTCAGATGGCAGAAGACCCATAGCCTCATGAGGGAGCAGAGGGGAGATGGGAGCAACATAAGGTAAGGCAGAGGCCATTGGGAGGGAGTGTACATCAGAAGGACAAGAGGCAAAGAGGACCATCCAAAGATGCCACCAGCAGAAGCAGCCACCTCCAGTCTCACCTCAGAGTCTCATGCCTTACCTGAGCCAGAGACCATGTTCCTGACCTGTCTAGTAGACCCGAATCTCAGCTGGACGCAGGCTGGCCCAGGGCTGGGGGGACCTGCCAAGGATACAGGCTTCCTCAGTGTAGGGCACAGCAGCTGTGGTGCCCCCGATGATGTAGCTGTAGAAGGAGACTTCTAGGGTATAGCAGTAGGAAGTGTGGTCCAGGAGCCCACCAAGGAAGCGACGGCCAGTTCCAGCCTTCACGGCATCCCGGTTGAAGGATGTGCTGGACTGTGAAAGAGTAAGCATGGAGGACAGAATCAGGGTTGGGTACCGACGGGCCACTGCACCTTGAGCAAATCTTACAATACCTCTGGGTCTCAGCATCCTCATCTGAAAAGTAGAATATTAATCCCACATCACAAGATTATTATGGGGACAGATTAAATAAACATAATTAATGAAAGCATTTTCAACAGAGTTCTTAGGGTACAGTAACTGCCATTTAACAAATACTTGTGGAAATTTGAATGGGGACAGATGGAGCAAGGAAAAGTAGACAGAGAACAATTATATTATGATGATAATAAGAACTCAAATCTGAATTAAATTTGAGCAGTGCTTTCAATTTCATGATACTGTTTCCCACGTAGTATCTCATTTAGGCTTCCAAACAACCCCTTGAAGAAGGTATTGGGATTTTGCCCACTAAGGTGAGGACACTGAAGCTCACAGAAGTGGAGCAAGTAAGCGCTACATTTCTGATTTGAACCCAGGACTTCATGGTTCCAGGTGCCCCAACACTCCCTCACAACTCTCCGTCAGGGACAGCTGAACTCATGTCCTGCCCCACCAAAGAGTAGGGAGCATGGCTGCTGCTTTACTAGGGTGTCAGCGGCACCCATCACAGTGAACATAGGGAGGAAAGAACAGCAGGTCACTGGGTCACTGTCTGGGTCCTCTGTTTGGAAATATGCGAGCTGTTAGGCAACTTGCCTTATTTGTTTAAGCCTCAATTTCCTCATCTGTAAAGTGGAAGTGATGGCGTCTCTTTCACAGAATAGTGAGGGTCAGTTCACTTGAGGTTAGACAGGTGTTGTATGCTAGCCCATGGAGATCTGAATAAATGAAGAGACTGTGGGTTTTTCTTAAATCTTCCTTTCTAATGGAAGTATAGTGGACATACTGTATTCATTTCTGGTGTGCAATGTAGTGAATTCAACATTAATGTACATTTCAAAATGCTCACCATGGTAATTGTATTTACCACCTATCACCATATAGAGATATTACAGTATTATTGACTATATTCTCTATGCTGTACTTGTCATCCCCATGACTTCTTTATTTTATAATTGGAAGTTTGTCCCTCTTTCTCCCCATTACCTATTTTGCCCATCCTCCCAGCCTCCTCCTCTCTGGGAACCACCAGTCTGTTCTTTGTGTTTATGAATCTATTTCTATTTTTTTGTTGGTTCATTCATTTGTTTTGCTTTTGTACATTCCATGTATAAGTGAAATCATGGTATTTGTCTTTCCCTCTCTGACTTATTTTGCTTATCACAATACCCTCTAGGTCCATCCATGTGGCTGCAAATGGCAAGATTTCATTCTTTCTCTTCTTTCTGGCTGAGTAATATTCCATTGCATATATGTACCACAGGAGACTGAGTTTTAATAAGAGAATGTATGCTTGTTCAGCAGTGTATAAAAGAAGAAAAAGAGGGAGGGGAAAAGGTATAAAGAAAACAGCAAAATGAGACAGATATATATAAAGACATTTAAAGAAAGAGAAATTCTGTGTGTGTGTGTGTGTGTGTGTGTGTGCATTTTGAGGTAAAGAAAAGGATGAGAAAATTAGAAGTCAGATCTGAAAGTACCCTTGAATTCATGTAGCAAAATCCAACTCTCATTTTAGAGTTACGTACTGAGCATCAGAGGAGAGGGGAGACAAAGACTATATTAGGACACATGATCTTGACCCTGGCCCTGAGTTCTTAGTGGGGCTGAAATGCAGGAACACCATCATCAAGGCCAGAAGTAAAGCTCCCAGACTATGCCCCTTTTGTAGGCCTTGGAAACCTCACCCCCATGAGGGTCTCTGGGGCCTGGGGCCCAGTCTCCCACGGAACCTGGATCCAGGAGCCTACAGTCTGCTCTGAAATTGGAGTGGTTTCAAAAAGAGAAGGGCTGGTCATCCTATAGAGATTCCTATAGAAAAAAGCATGGTTGTTTTTATCTCGGAGCTACAAATGGGGACCTACCAATTCTGATTCTACCACCAAGGTCTGGGTGACTGCTGTAGATGACTCAGCTTCTCTTAGATATGGGATTCTCCTGGGTGTGAAAGGGAACTAGCCTAAATATTATCCCAGCTCCTTTCCTGGCCTGGCATTCAAAACTTTGGGGATTCAAAGTGCATCTTACCTTATGGAGAAATTCATCATCTCCACTAATGTCCAGGCCTGAAGCAATGGGCAGGCAAGTTTTCAGCTCATCAACTTCAAAAATTGCTATGACCTTTGTGGGCCTCTCCCCCTCTGGCCACATGGAAATAACAGGCCTCAGAGATTTAGTAGCAAAACAAAGGAAAATGTACAAAACTCTCTCCCATGTCTCCACATCACATGCTGATTCCCCCTTATCTTCTCTCCCTGCCCTTTCCAATATTGCTTTTTGCTGCAAATTATTCTAACTGCCAGTCCACAGCCTCTCCAGTCCTCCTCGGCTTGTGAGGTGGGTACTAACAACCACAGTCTCTGGAGTCTGCTGAGGTCTTTACTGCCTGCAAAGTACTTTCATATCTATTACTGCATTTGTCCTCCCAGGAAGCTATGATGCACACAGGGCAGAAAATCATCACCTGCAAATTGCTGACAAAGAAACTAAGGCCCAGAAAGGGTAATGGAGGAAGAGAATCGTGAGTATATGATCCCATTCAGCAGATATGTTTGGCTCTTACTAAAAGAACTGAGGTAGGTGCAAGAAGACCCTGGGGTGGGATCTGGCAAATGGTGGGTATGCAGCAAGTCTCTCCCCTTGTTAATGCCGGAGTCAGACCAACTAACCAAATGTGAGCTCTTCAGACAGATCCACTGCTACCTTTCTAGAGTCTTCCTCCTGACTGGTGATGAGCTGGGCAGAGGGCATGGGAATAGCCTGTTCACCTCTATCACTCACGCAAGACCTGGCACAGAGTAGGTGTTGGTAAATGTTAAATCAAACTGAACTGAATGAGGAGAAAGAGTGAGAGGCCGTAGGAGGGAGTGGGGAGCAGGCGCTGGCCGAGAGAATTCCTGGCGTACATAGGAGAAGTCCTCAGCGTTCTGGCAGAGGAGCTTGGGGAAAACAGCCTGCCTCTGGAACTTCTCCTCATCTTCGAAGATGTTGCCGTACATGAAGCCATTCATCATGGTGGAGTGGGCGTGGATGTCAATGTAAAACTCCAGACTTGTTTTCTGTTGAGAGAAAGGATAACAAATGACCAGTCTAAGGCCACAGAATGTGCCTTACAGGGACCAGACACTAAGCACTCACGCTCACACACACATGCATGCACGCGCATATGCATGCACGTGAGCTTCCTTTAGAGCTGACCTTATGAGTCAGCAGATTTAGCAACCAAATTCAATGGGGTTGGAGGGTAGAGAGCAGTAAGGATCAATTTTTCTTTACTTTTAACACCCATCTGACATCAGGGTCTGGGCCCACTACCATTAACATCTCATTTTTGTTACTTACCCAGAATAGTTACTACATTCACACTAAAGGCATTAGCAAAATTTGTTTCTCTAATTAATGAGAAATACCTTCAGGTAACACCATTTTATGTACATTGGTCTGCTTAGGGTTTTGCCCCTACTGGGCCATTTCTAGCTGAGGAATATGGGGTTAATCACAGTCCCACTTGGAGCCTCAGCTTTCTTATTTGAAAAGTAGGTATGTTAAATTCCAACCTCAGAAAGTTGTAGTGGGACTCAAATAGTGCGATTATAATTACTATCACTTACTACATATTTAATGCATGTCAGGCACCATTCTGGGTGCTTTATGTGTAACACCTTAGTTAATTCTTTTATTCTTTTATTTACTCTCATTTCATGATACCATACCTACTCCCCACAGTACTGCCCTGCTTTCTACTTACACATATTGAAGGCATTCTCTAGCTTGATATGGTGTTACTTACTAACAATTACATCTACGAGCTCCCTGAAGGCAGGGTCTCTGTCTGTAAAGAGTGCAGTGTCTGTATGGGAAAGATGCTCATTAGCTTTATGCAGAGAAACTTAATAAATAACTCCAGAGATAACTGTGGGCATCACAATGGACTGGCAGGAGTTGGGGAACTTTTAGGCCCTTACATCGTCAACGTCCCTCAAATCTGATCTCCTCTTCCTACATATCATCCAAATTTATATCTATTAATCCCTTCTGAGAGTAACAGAGACCCCAGATAGGGAAGGGACTTGTCCAAGCTCATGGCAAAAGTGGGACTGAAACCCAGGTCCCCTGACTCCCAGCAAGCTAACTGATCACCACCCACGGCCAACACCAGGAGCAGCCAAAGCAAAATCTGGCCACCTTGCCATCCCCTTTCCGCCTGTGGTCCTGGAGAAGAAGCAAAGTCCATGCTTACAGGGATTCTCCCTCCTTGGGACACTATCAAATGACGTTCAAACCAAATGAAAACCGTGTTGCTTTTTGGAATGTGGGCCTGATGACTGTCATTTCATTTGCCTCAGCGTTGGAATGAAAAATCACGTCTTGCCAAGCTCGCAGTTCTCTGGGAGGCATAAGCTGTCTTTTGAGAGAGACAAGACGCACTGCTCTGTGTGATATTAACCTCCTCATTTTCAGCTTTGGAGGTGGAATACACAATGATTCCACAGGAGCCCTATACAAGTCATCTCTGCAATTTTATTTTCTTCAATTGTCTGTCTTTTCCTCTGAGCTTCTGATGAGCTGCAGAGGCAAGAGAGATGCCTGAAGAAATGTGCAAGGAAAACTGCAATTTATATATCTCTCGATGTTGGAGCTAGAGAGGGCCTTGAAAACCAGCTTCTCTGACCTTCCCTGGATCAGCCCTGAGTGGGACATTGCTTCATTAAGGCCGGTCAGCAGGCTCATTAAGGAGCAAGAACCAGAACCTGGCTTTTCTGAAAACTATTCTGGAGTGGTTTCCACTGCCCCATCCTGACATCTGGCACCCAATATGATTTCACTTTAAATAACCAGCAGGTGAGTTATACTGATTGGTTTATATGGTTTGAAAATCAGAAAGACATGAAAGTATTCACTGTGAAAAAGCTCCCTTCCGCCCCTGGCACCAGGTCCACTCTCCTGAGGCAACTGAGGTTCTTTCAGTTCTCAGGCAGCCCTCCAGAGGCGGTTTCTGCACAAACAAGTAAACATCCCTTCCGCTTCCTCCCAACACACACAGGTGGCAGCTCACAAAACGCACTGCTCAGATCTGCTTTGTTTCTTAACGTGTCTTGGAGGTAACTTTTTTCCCAGTACATAAAAAGCTACCTCATTCTTTCTAACAGCCATATACAAACTAACTAGTCCCCTATTGATGGACATTTATTTCCAATCTTTTCCTGTTATAAAACAGTATCTTAATGATTGACTCTGCATGTACACTGTTTCACACATATTATACAATCATATGTAGTATAATTCCTGAAATTAGAATTTCTGGGTCCTCTGTGCATTTGCAATTCTGATCAATATAGACAGGCTGACCTCCTTAAAGGACCAACATAAACTCCCAGCAATGTGTTACAATGTCTCTTTCTCAATTACCTTAAAGACATGAGTGGAATCAAAACTTTTTGAGATTTGTCAGTTTGATGGGTGAAAAACAATATGTAAGATTAGTTTTAATCTGAATTTCTCTTAGTATTATAATATGGTTAAGTAACTTTTTATATGCTTAAGGACTATTTGCACTTTCTTTTCTTGGGTTAACTGTTCATTTCCTTTGCCTATCTTAAAAACTTGGATTGTTGGCCTTTAGGTGTAGCATGAAAATATTTTTCTCAGTTTGTCATTGTCTTTTTACTTTACTTCTGCTACTACTTTTTTCCATACAGAAATTTTTAAATGCTAATTTTTTACACAGATATGTTGATCTTTTCTTTTGTGCTTTCTTGGTTGAATTCTTTCAATGTTTCTTCTATTAGTTTTATAATTTTTTTATGTCTAAATATTTCATTTCAATTTTAATTTAAATGGGTGTAGGGTGTGAGGTAAGGATTAAACTTTATTGTCCCACATCATTTACCAAATTGTGCATCTTTTTCCCACTGACTTGAAAAGCCACCTTTACTATATAAATTTTTTCTATGTATTTGGATTTACTTTTGGACTTACTATTCTGTTCTAATCATTTGTCTATTCATGTGTCAGTACTATGCAGTCTTAATTATGTTAAGTTTGAAGTTCATTTTAATATTTAGAGGGCTAGTATCACCTCATTAAGCCTCTTTTCCCAAATTTGCCTTTATTTTCTTGTCTATTTTTTCTATATGACTTTCATAATTAGCTTGTTTAGCTATCCTTCCTCCTCAAAACCCTGTCAATATTTTCAGCATTTGTAATATAATTGTATTAGATTTTCATATTAATGTAGGAAGAACTGACTCTTCTTGTGACTTTGAGCCTTCCAATCCAAGAATAGATTTTCACTTTCCATTCATTCAAGTTTTCCTCTGGGTACAGAAGGAAGTTTTAAACGTTTATGTCTTTGTTTTCATAGAGACAATGAACATTTCTTTTTGATACCAAGGCAGTTTATATTTTTAGTTGCTCTTATAAATATGATGTTCTCTTCCATTAAATTTTCTAAGTGGTGGATCTCTATACATATTTTCAGCACATTAAATACTTCACTAATCCTATTATTATTTGTGATAATTTCTTATTTGGTTTTCTTGGATTTTCAATTTCTTACTTATTCAAGTATTACTTACTTATTCAGATAATCACTGAGTACCTATTACGTGTCAGACAATGTGGTAGGCACTGGGGAATGCCCCAGGGAGTGTTCTGGGCACTAGGAATACAGCTACAAAGGCAACAGAAAGCTCAGTCTCATAGAGTTCACTTTCTATGGGGAGAGAAAGAAAATAAAACACATCATTTCATAAACATACAAGATGTCAGGAGGTATTAGAGCTGTGGTGACAAATAAAGCACAGTAAGGGAACAGAAAGTAACAGAGGTTTTGGAAGAATTTGGGATACAAGAGTTAGTCTCGAGGCTACCACTCAAGTAGTACGAGGCTGCGCACTCATCTGGTGCAAGAGTCTTCCTGGAAGAGAAGGAAGCGTAGACATGTACCTGGCAAGGCTGACGAACAGCAGGAGGCAAGGATGACTGGAAGAGGGCGTGAATAAAGGGGACAGTGCTTTCTACGTTTATAATCGTACCACCGATACATAGTAATTTTATCTCTTTTTCAGTTTTTATGCTGCTAATTTCTTTTTTATGTCAACTGCAGTATCTAGTACTTCCACAACAAAGTTAAAGGAATAGCTAGTTTCTAAGATCCCTTCCCACTCTGTGATTCTAGGGGCTGGACCTAGAGTAGAAAAGGCCTAGGAAATTTATCTGAATAGGGTCTGACTCTGAGGTCTTAGTTTTTTTTCTTCATCACACATACCTAGCACTTTTCTGTGAATGCCAAAGACCACAAATACTAATTCCAACGACATCTTGATTATGATTTGTGCCTTAATTGGCTTTATGGACTTGTGTTGGCCCAGTTGGAATGGAGCCTGGAAGGCAGAGCAGGGTTTCTACCTCTGGTTCTAATGTTAACATAACCTGTGACCTTGCACAAATGGCAAGTCTTTGCTGAACCTCAATGTTCTCACCTTTACAAGTGATTGTTGAATGAGACAGAGGACATAAGTTAAGGACTTCCTTAAACTTTTCATGATTTTTTCTTATCCTCAGATAAAATAAGTCCCTCATTCCTCCCCAGTCAGCTTCTTGCTTGGGCCCTGATACCAGTACTTGTTACTATCTACCTAAGCAAGCTAATAAATGTGCCTGTCTGCCTATGAGCTCTTTGAGGGCAGGGACCATGTCTGATCCAACCCATCATTTTCACTTGTTCTACTACAACAGGTCTTACCTGGTGTCCTTGCTGCTTCCAAGTGATCTTTCAGAATGCAAACAACTCATGTCACTTCCCTGGTCAAAACTGTTCTACACTTCTCCATTGCTCACAGGTAGAGCCTAAGCCTCTTCATATATTTTAAAAGGCACTGTATGGTCTGTTCCCTAGTCTCACCTCTTGCCACTTCTAGTCTGATGCTCTATACTCCAGCCATGTGGAGCTACCTGGAAGTGCTTTGCTCATGACTTTTGTCTCAACATTTACACACAATAAATATCTCCTCTGCCTAGAATATACTTTATCTTTATGTGGCTGAATCTGACAAAA